TGCGTCTTATACTCCGAAAAATACGGTAGGTCATTTGTGACTACATAGGGATTCCAGGCTGATCCCTCTTTTGACTCTGCCCCCAGGTTCTGCTACTCCTTCTCCTACCACTCCCCACCGGCTTACCTTCAGCTCTAAGCCACGAATCATATCTTGGTCAAGGCCCCTCTGTCCACGGAAGGCCAGGATTTTCTGCCGAGACATGGCCATCTCCTTGCTCAGCACCGATGTGATGTTCTCAAAGACCTGCAGCTTGGTCTCCAGCCAAGAAACCCTCTTCACTCGTCTCAAGAGGGTGCACCAGCTCACCACCCCCTCCTCCACTGGCGACGCAGAGAAGGACCTCTCCCCCACTGGATCCTGAATCTTCAGGGTGAGAGGTGACTTCATCCAAAGCTTGGCGTCTATCAAAGGTGAGTTGCACAAGCTGCCTCTTGGGGATGGATTGCCCTTCAGGTGTTTGACGTACTGGAGCAGCAGGGACAGGTGTCTTCCGGCAGCATTCTTCTCATGAACTTTTTGATCTCCCGCGTTGCCCTGTTTGGGAAGAAACATGGCGGCCTTGGGCAGGAGAAGGAACTCGGTGCTTTGGTCCTGTTTGACAACTCTCATCCTGGCACCCATCCAAGGGGACCAGCTGGAGTGTCCACACCTTGCCAGAGCTATTGATGCTCACGGTTTCCCAGCCGTACCTTGAACAAGCATCCAATTCTGGAAAATCGGCAACCTTCATCCATGGGACAAAGTCCTGAAGGATTCTGTTCAGGAAAGGATAAGCCGAAAGGGAAGGAAAGATGAGAGAGGTAGGTGGATGGTGAGAGAAAGAAGGGGACAGATGGACAGATGGTAGGCAACAGATAACAGACAGACACAGAGATAGAAAGTCGTAAAACAGATATTTAAACGTATGCAATTGAAACGCCGAAAATCAGACAAATTTAATGGCGCGACCTGATGCTCCTTCCCAGATGTCGTGGGGTTATCGACAGCGTTTGGATCCATCAACATCCTGCACACCGCTGCCTGACCATAATTGACCAGGACGTATTCACACATTCGGCGATGATCCTGCAAGATACGTTTTTGCAAAAAAAAAAAA